GCAGCTTCAGTCACGCTGATGAGTCCTAGACAGAAACTTCCAATTGTTTTCACTCCTATGGCTACAGATAATGGCTGTTTGTACAGCTCCCGGGGTATCAGCAGCGGTGGAGATTTGAGGACACCGTGTTTTATCGGGCTGGCTTTCGGGGACGAAAAATGCGGCCGGTAATGGTGGCTGCTTGGGCAAATGTAACAGATAAGCTATCAAGCAGGCGTGATGCGCTGATACAAAGCCTGCTGCTCAGCTGCCAGCAAAATGTTACAATTGTGTGGATGACGGTTCGACCACCTCGCTTATGGACAGGTCAAGAGCGGGGTTTAACAGCCCCCGCCTGCGTTTCAATGTTGTGGGATGTGGAGAAGGAGACATAACGATGGTGGGAAGGATATGGAAACAGGGGAGGTATATGGAAATGAAGCGGGATAAGAAGACGGGGATCGATGTGAAGATGGAGAATGAGGGGGACACGTGGGCAGAGAGAGGAAGAAAGAAAGAGAGAGAGAGAGAGAGAGAGAGAGAGAGAGAGAGAGAGAGAGAGAGAGAGAGAGAGAGAGAGAGAGAGAGAGAGAGAGAGAGAGAGAGAGAGAGAGAGAGAGAGAGAGAGAGAGAGAGAGAGAGAGAGAGAGAGAGGGTGGTGGAGGAGGCTTTCAATGTGGAATGCAAGCTTACTAGTTTGATTCGTTTGCATCGATTGATCGATGATAAACAGCAGATTTAGTGACGCCTGAGACAGCACTTCGCCTGCAGCGGGCCAGCACCGCCACCGTTCTGCCCGCCGCCGCTGGAGCGTTGGAAAATACCGCTCAACCGTTAAATAACGAGATCTTATCTGGAAAAACCGAGTCGTGTTCCCGGTAGGTGTTTCAGCCCGTCCGATTTGAGCACGGTCGGCGCGGTTGCTGTCCGAAGACACCGCGAATAAGACGACGCAGTCGGATGGCGTTGCTAACCCCGCCACCGTGGCGAGATCCACCGGCACCAGTGCGCATGCGCGCCGCGCGTCCGCTCCGCTCCAAAACGTGCCCATTCCACTCAGGGTGTCCGGCAAACGTGACGGTGGCGCCGCCGGGATACTGGGCGGTGCTGGGAGGTCGCCCGCCGGCCGGCGAGTCCGGCGACGCGCCAGTGGCCAGTGGTGACGCCCTGAACAGCCGGTGGTGCCGCTCTGGACAGCCAGCGGTGCCAGTCAGGACAACCGGTGGTGTCGTTCAGGACAGCATGTGGTGCGGTGGAGCCGCCCAGGACAGCCAGTGGCGCCGCTCAGGACAGTCAGTGGTGCCGCTCATGACACCGGTGGTGCCGCTCTGGACAGCCAGTGGTCCCAGTCAAGACAACCGGTGGTGTCGTTCAGGACAGCCGGTGGTGCCGCTCTGGACAGGCGGTGATGCCGCTCTGGACAGCCGGTGATGCCGCTCTGGGCAGCCAGTGGTGCGGCTCAGGACAGTCAATGGTGCCGCTCAGGACAGCCGGTGGTGCCAGTCGGGACAGCCGGTGGTACCGCTCTGGTCTGCAGATAGTGCCGCTCTGGCTTGCCCATAGTGCCGCTCAGGACAGCCGGTGGTGCCAGTCAGGACAGCCGGTGGTACTGCTCAGGCCTGCCGATAGTGCTGCTCAGGACAGCCAGTGGTGCCAGTCAGGACAGCCGGTGGTACCGTTCTGGCCTGCCGATAGTGCCGCTCAGGACAACCGGTGGTGCCGCTCTGGCCTGCCGATAGTGCCGCTCAGGACAGCCGGTGGTGTCGCTCTGGCTTGCCGATGGTGCCGCTCAGGACAGCCGGTGGTGCCAGTCAGGACAGCCGGTGGTACCGCTCAGGCCTGCCAATAGTGCCGCTCTGGCCTGCCAATGGTGCTCTCAGGACAGCCGGTGGTGCCGCTCTGGTCTGCCGATAGTGCCGCTCAGGACAGCCGGTGGTGCCGCTCTGGTCTGCCGATAGTGCTGCTCAGGACAGCCGGTGGTGCCGCTCTGGTCTGCCGATAGTGCCGCTCAGGACAGCCGGTGGTACCGCTCAGGCCTGCCAATAGTGCTGCTCAGGACAGCCGGTGGTGCCGCTCTGGTCTGCCGATAGTGCCGCTCAGGACAGCCGATGGTGCCGCTCTGGTCTGCCGATAGTGCCGCTCAGGATAGCCGGTGGTGCCGCTCTGGTCTGCCAATGGTGCTCTCAGGACAGCCGGTGGTGCCGCTCTGGTCTGCCAATGGTGCTCTCAGGACAGCCGGTGCCGCTCTGGTCTGCCGATAGTGCCGCTCAGGACAGCCGATGGTGCCGCTCTGGTCTGCCGATAGTGCCGCTCAGGACAGCCGGTGGTGCCGCTCTGGTCTGCCAATAGTGCGGCTCAGGACAGCCGGTGGTGCCGCTCTGGTCTGCCGATAGTGCCGCTCAGGACAGCCGGTGGTGCCGCTCTGGTCTGCCGATAATGCGGCTTAGGACAGCTGGTGGTGCCGCTCTGTTCTGCCAATGGTGCTCTCAGGACAGCCGGTGGTGCCGCTCTGTTCTGCCAATAGTGCCGCTCAGGACAGCCGGTGGTGCCGCTCTGGATACAGTACGACTGTCACGCATGTGAGCACCTCGTTGTCTCAGAATGCAAAATATATATTTTCGGCGTTAACTACACATGTGAGATAGCGTTAACTTGTCCTCGGACTCCACTGTGTTTGCACTGAAAAATGTGCAATACAACGCAAAAGTTTATTCAGAAAAGTAAAGATATTCAAAATAACGACCAACTGTCCTGGGATTTAATACAGATGGCAAGGAGGCATGCTTTTTGTACGGTCATGAAGCAACTCCTTCATTATTTGCAACGGCAAGAGCACGCACCTCCCTTACATCATGGCAACGCGCCATTTTCGGATGTGTGTCCACGTCGGGTGTCGGGCGTAGTGTTCACACATGCCCCTCCCCGAGGTATGTGACTGCAGCGTCATATAGTTTCGCCTTTGTTGCAGCGTTGTCGCCTAATAGGTTCACTCAAGGTTTTAGGTTCACCTACCGAGAAGGCCCATTCTTGTCCGCTGGCAGGTAGGCTGACGAGCACATTTCCTTCTGTGAGAATAAAACACTCTCTCAGGGCGTTAACACGATAGCCTCCCACCAGCTCTTCCAGCGCTTTCCCCTTTTAAGGCGATGAGTTGCGTTCCTGGATCTCAGATGATCCTTTCGGCGGATTCGGCGGTCAGATGCGGCCAGTTGGACCGGTCACGGTTGGGTCTGGTAACGAGCTATGACGGTGTCCAGACCACCGACCTTTGGGAAGAGCTGCCTCGGCCGCGGCAAACATCCACTGGTTCTCGAGGGGGGGGGGCAGACTGGTCCAGCCAGTTTGGCCATTTGTCACACTGCAAACGGCGAATTTGTTCTTTCGCTCATCAAACGTCGGATTTGATCTTTCGCTCATCAAACCGCGAGTTTGTTCTTTCGCTCATCAAACCTCGAATTCGTTCTTTCGCTCATCAAACCTCGAATTTGTTCTTTCGCTCATCAAACCGCGAATTTATTCTTTCGCCGTCACTGTCTCCATTTGGGCGATGCGTTTCGATAATTTGCTGCATGTGATGCGCATTAAACCCGACAGTAACAAGTTACTACTGAACTAATCAGTGGTCTGTAATTTGCGGGAGCGGCAGCTGAGAGTAGCCCATAACTTAGAAAGGATGGATGGCAGGCGCTATGGGCCGTTAACTCTACCTGACGTGGCTCAGCCGAAGACGCCCTCCACAAATAGGCACGAGGCACTTCAGAATAGTCTCAACGCTTTTTCACTTTCACGCCTGGATAGCCAAACAGTGTGATGAAAAGTTGTTAGTTCCAACGGATTCGTCGGCGCGCCATCCGTAGGCCGGCAGGTGAACCGAACTGCCCGTTTAGGTGCTCGACGAATAGGGGGAAAGTCCTCTGCTCTTGAGCACAAATGAGTCAAGTCGGAACACCCGTGCCGAACGATTGTGCCAATGTAGATAATTGGACCACGGGCCATTGCGGGTCAAACAGAGCGCGGCCGAGCAAGATCAGGCGTCGAAACGGTGTTATGACGCTTTGAGCTAAGAAGTTAAACCTCCACGCCACGGTGGAGGCTGCTCTGGCCGCATCGACTCGCCTGCGGCGCCGCCACCACCGCTTGCGTTAGGAAGTCCCAGCGTAGCCGATCGGGAAGGAAAAACCGACATTATCCTCGTCAAGCAGGAGACGGGTTCACGGCGCCAATTTGTGTTTTTTTACGGTGGCTCTGCCCACTGCAGTGTTCATTTGGGCTCTACAATATTTGTTGCTGTTATATCTAAAAAAAACGGAATAAGTCAACTGTCACATCACACAAGGCCAGCCTTTTTTTGGTATGTCTGTGATGATTATGATTATTTCGCTGCTGAAATAATGGGCTATCAGGAAAATAATCCAAAATTTAAGACATAACCTCGTCCTTCAAAATAAAATGGGATACCACCCTCAATCATTTCCACCAATTTACGTCCCGGGACGTATTGGTGGGCTCGGTGCGTACAGGCTGACATTTTGTTCACGTAACATACAGATCAACACATCGACATTTTTGCCGTCATCGTATCCCGTTAGTTCTCATCCACGGTGACGGGATGAGAAAATACGCATCAATGATGTCAACGTGCCTTCAGATGTGGCATTCGGCTCGGGGCTGGGCACGGCCGCGCCACGCAAGGTCACCAGGATGTGATCCGTTCCGCTTAAACTGCTAATCTTGCACAAGAGGAGATTCCCCTCGAACGTGCAGCTGATCCGTATAGAAAGGTCTTCACGAGGACGCTGGGACGTCGGAATCCTTCCCGCAATATCTTAGTAACCTGCTGTATGCCAAATGACAAAAAAATCGCGCAACAATCCTTCAGCTGTGGGGTCGTAAGCCCTCCGCCGAGCGGTCAAGAGTTTCTGCTTCCCTCAATAACCTGTGAATACGCCAGATGATACCTAGTCGAGTCTGTAAGAGCGGCCGGGGCGTCAGCCGAGCACAGGCGTACGCTTCGGACGTACCTGTGTTGGGGAAGACCGCAGCAGCCGAGCGAGCGCCTCCGTGTCCCAGCGAGTCGGCAGCGGTTTATCACATCCACTCGGCACGCGGCGCGGCGCGGTTAGCGGCAGTCACCGTCGCCGGTCACGGGGTCGCACTGCCGGCTGCCGCGCAGCCAGCCGACACCGCCGGCGCCGTGCGCGACGCTCGACGGTGCGGCCGCCTGACGACGGACGCCGCAACTTGCGCCTCACAGACTGCCGCCAGATGTTCCAGGGGCAGGTCGGTGCTCACGCATGCGCCAGCTGTTAAATAATGTTTCCCAAAAATGCTGATAACAATTCTTTAAGCGCCTGATCCATCGCAAGCGCATCGTCGCAAGTGAATCAAAGGTCACGGACAGGGTGCGATTCGGCCCGAGTCGTGTCGGTTTCCAGTCCTTACGTCTACCATACTCGACGAAGCGCGTGCCGTGGGCGTGGGCTGAGACTCTAGTTTGAGTCAAGCTAAGTTGGTTTGAGAACCAATCTCCTAAACAGTGTTCTCTTATCTCACAGGGTGAAAGTCCATGATACGACGCGAACGCGATCGCCTCCCATACCCGTGTACATAACCAACCCGATACCATAGATGTGATGCGCAGAAATAACCTGTCGTGGGTCACCAGGGAGCTGCACAATTCACCTCTTGTTCGTTCTGAGAGGCAACAAACCCAACTAACCATGGGGCTGACACATCCAAGTAGGCTATCATATACGAGTGCGGGCCTCCTCTCCATGTCATCCAGAATACGTGATTTGACAGCGATCGGGTAAGCGATCGCCCAATTGATCATGGCAACCCCAATAGATTATACACCGGGCGTTTGTGTACGTATGCCTTTTAGATCACAGGCCTTTTACTTGATGCATTTGGCACATATCATCATGTGCCGGCTGTGGTCATAATTTTCCGTTACCCCGCCAACTACTGGCGTAAGCCAGACTGTCTCGCCCGCTGGACTCGCGTCCGACTCGCATTGGCCGTATGACGCGCGACGCGTAACACAAAACCAGCGGCGGGCCAACCCGAGCTCACATACATCATCCCACGGCCTCCAGCGTTCCTCCATGTGTTGACGCAACAGCGGCTGTCGTTATCCCATTCCGGAATGATGGAGCGGCGTGCGGCGGTCGATACCGCCCGCCCCCAGTCGAAGGAGCCAGAGATGAGCCGACGTGATGGCTGAATCGCGGCGATATTACGAGTCACTGCCGCCCTCCCCGTACATGAGCTCATTTGCTTTCACAACGTAAGAACCACAGCAGGAACGGTTTCAAACGGATAATTCACTATTTTGAAGTGCATAACCTGTCCTAGAAGCTACTTTCCGATGGTTAGCTGCTGAATGACAGAACAGTACGATCCCTTTCGGTACAAGGTTCACGAATGGCCCGCGTAGACTGATAATTGACTGACAACGTAGACTGCGTAGACTGACAACGTAGGCAATGGCCGGGACTAAGAGTACCCACATGGAATCAGCAATGGGCTGGTCTGGTAGATTCTGGGAAATTTACGGGTAGGGGCAAGACGTTTACGAGATTTCTGTTAAACATTTCAACGGATACTAGTGTTGCCATTAGCGCAATATATCTTGCAATTTCCAACGTAAAAGAGCACATATTGGTGCAAAATTTCCCGCAAATCTTCTAAAAAGTGGAATAAGTGCTGATGAAATGTCATAGGATGGGTAGCTGGTCGGTACAACTGGCCAGGCATGGGTGGCAAGTGTGCATGGCCCATTGCAATGAGTAGCGGCTGGACTTTGGAAAGGAAATCTAACTCGTGAAGACCGCCAGCCACAGAACGCGGTACACACAAAGCTGCCGCTAAGTACATCCCAAGACATTCAAAACATGTATTGCAGCACAGCCAACACATTCAAAGACATGGGGTATGAGCCACAACACACAGGCATTTTCACAACGCTAACCACTCTGAGTCTGACAGGCACACCGGACGTCCGCGTCAGTTGGACCGGCGGCCGCCGGGCGGCGCTAGGTGTCGCAGTGCTGCCACCAGCGCGGGAACGGCACGACATCGCGGACGCTCTCCAGGCCGGTGAGCAGCAGCAGCAGCCGCTCCAGGCCCAGGCCGTAGCCGGCGGTGGGCGGGCCTCCGAAGCGGCGCAGCTGGGCGTACCAGTCGAGCCGCGGCAGCAGGCCGAGCCCGTGCAGCCGGGCCGTTAGCCGAGCGGGGTCATCCTCACGCAGCGAGCCGCCGGCTAACTCACCGATCCGCGGCACCAGCACGTCCACCGCCGCCGCCTGAGGGCGCGCCAGGTCACGGTAGGTCACGTACACTGAGGTCAACAGCGGCCTCACCGAGACCAAGCCAGGTCACACTCAGGTCAGCAGCGGTCAAGGCAGGTCACCCTGGGGTCACAACAGTTTACACTAGGAGCACGGCAGGTCACACTGGGGTCAGGGAGGTCGTGCTGATATCCGGGCATATCACACTGTGGTCAGACTTAGCTACATTGGAGTCAGAGCATGTCTGAGAGGGGCCAGGTCACAGCGGGATCAAGCAGGCCACAAAGAAATCGGGACAAATTGCGATGCGTTCCGGGCAGGTTACACTGAGGTCGGGTTAGGCCACCCTAAGGTAGGTACACTCTACAGTAAGATTCACACAGACCCTGTCCAGGCAAGGGCATCTAATACTGGGCTGCCAGAACAGCTGACAATGAGGTAAATACACGTCATCAGCTCAAGGTGTGCCTTTGCGGAAGTTTTGGTAAAATCAATACTTAATAAGGTCATAAGGGGTTAAGACGACGTTTCAAATTGATGTCTTAGGGTACCTGGCGCTAACGGCAGTGTTCTCTCTCCTACGAAAGAGAGAAACGTATCATTTACTACATCCTATTTTGTAACATCAAAGCCATATCAAATAAGCTCGATGTACAGCATCATTTCCTCCATGCTAACAATTCATAACACCGGAAAACTGAACAGCAAATGCAGAATGCATGATGACATCCAAGTCCTCATCGGCACGGTAGCAGCCCTCGTTGACTTCCGCCCCGGAAGGTCGCTCCAGCAAGAACCACGCCAGTTTGAGCGAGACCGCCATTGCCCCTACGCCGGCGCGGGGTGGGGGCGGGGGTAGGTCCGGGTTGAAGGGCCGCGATCTGGCACACTAAGCCGCCCCCCCCCCCCCCCCCGACCGGGCGACGCCAGGCCCAGCCACCCAGTCAGTCCGGCATCGCGCCACGCATGCTGATCAGCCGCCGCCGGACCGTCAGTGACGTCACTGGCCGGCGACAACGCGGTGGCCGGCAGAGGACAGGGGCGAGCCGGCCCCGGCAGATGCATACGTGAGGAGGAACACACCCACAAATGTCAAGTATTGCGTCGTGCGCAGTGACATAGCACTGCTAAGCAGCCCCAGCCCGGCAAGTAAGGGGTGTTCATCACTTACGATAGCGAGAAATCACGACGTCTGTGGCGACGGTATGACGACAACCCATCCAGCTTCTTCTACAGTTCACCGAGCGGTCACCACATTTTGGATCACATCTCGCGTCAAACGCTATTTTCGGACTCGACGTTCACTACGAGTACGAAGCAAGCAATCCCAGTCCCTCGTTAGGGCAACACGAAAATAGTCGATAGAGGGAAATATAAAAATATGGGAAGTAAATGATGGGAGAAAAACTTTTCAATGAGGAATGGCGAACCCAATGCGCTGCTGCAACGCACGCCGAAAAGACAAGACTCATGGAGCACTCGGATAACACCGACATCGCAGAATCCGCGCCGCATAGCGGTTTAGTTAGCCGGCGAGGAGACCCAAAATTGAAAGCGCCGCGGCAGGAATTTATCAAAGAATGCGCGGCCAGAACACTTCCTAGCCAAATCGTGAAAGCCAGAGACGGCCACGCTGCGCACTCGCAGCCATAAACGCAGGTGGAACTTACCAAACCCCTTTCTGTGCAGGCGAGACGCATGAGATGGACACGTGGTCCCCTCTGTGCAGGTGAGATGCAAGCGATGGACACGCGTGATCCCCTCTGTGCGGGTGACACGCATGCGATGGACGCATGTGATCCCCTCTGTGCAGGTGATACGCGCGTAATGGATGTATGTGATCCCTGCGTAGGTGAGACGCATGTGACGGACGCATGTGATCCCCTCTATGGACGTGAGACAAATGTGATGGACACGTGATCCCCTCTGTGCAGGTGATATACATGTGATGGACACATGATCCCTCTGTGCAGGTGAGACGCATGTGATGGATGTATGTGATCCCCCTGCGCAGGTGAGACGAATGTGGTGAACGCATGTGATCCCCTCTGCGCTGATGAGACACACTGTGATCCCCCTTGTGCAAGTGGGACGCACTGTGATCCCCCGAGTGCAGGTGGGGGCTCACCCCATCCCTCTATGCTGGTGGGACTCGCTGCATCCCCACCCTCTGCGCGGGAGGTGCTGCCAACCTCCACCTCCGTGCGGACGCCACCCACCGTATCGCCCTCGGTGCGGACATAGAAGGGCTTGAGGCGGGCTGGCCAGTCTGTGACGAAGACTGGCGTCTGGCCGCAGTGCTCGAGCAGCGCCAGCTCGTGCTGGCGGCTGAGCTCGCCGCCGGGAGCGGCTGGCGCCCCCGGCTCCCGCCGCCGCTGCAGCACCGACACTGCCTCGGCGTGCGTCAGCTGCGCGAACGGCGCCGATATAAGCCGCTCCACCGAGGCCTGAGGGGACAGGGTACCGCTCAGGGGACGGCGGGCCCGCCGCGCGCCGCGGCATCCAGGCCCCGTCAGGGCACGTCAAGGCCCCGTCCAGGTCCGTCTGGGCAGGCGGCAAGAACGGGCCACCAGACAGGCAGTGCTCCACAAACCCTGACGCTCTCTGGGAAAGCGAGGGGAGAAGGGGGGGGGGGGGGGCAGAAGGCAAGTAGATGCCCGATGAGAGCCTGAGGGGAAGACACCAGGCAAACATCTGAGGTTCATGGGGCAGGAGATGTGGTCAGCAGGAGCACCCAACATCACAAGTTAACATGGTGAGCGGACAACATGGGCCAGAGTGTCGGACGGTATACTGACCAGCTGTTCATGTCTAGTGTCCGTACCCACATGCAGTGTCGTGTCAAGTGCCGCGCAGTGCGCTGAACAGCTGCTCATGTCCGGTGTCTATGTCCAGTGCCCGTCTTTAGTGCTCGTATCCGCGCCCAGTGTCGTCTTAAGTGTCAGGCAGAACACTGACAAGCCGCTCATGTCCAGTCTCGTCGTAAGTGCCGGGCAGTACACTGACCAGTTGCTCATATCCAGTCTCGTGTCAAGTGCCGGGCAGTATACTGACCAGCCGCTCATGTCCAGTGTACATCCTGTGTGTGCATTTAGTGCTCGTATCCGCGTCCAGTGTCCTGTCAGGTGCCGGGCAGTATACTGACCAGCTGCTCGCGCCAGGCGTCGGGCAGTATCAGCTCCAGCTCCCGTCCACTGCGGTCCAGGAAGGTGGCGGCCACGTCCTGCGTCAGCTCCTGCAGCGCGTCCGTCAGCTCCGGCAGCCGCTGCACCGGCGCCAGCTCCGCCTCCAGCATGTGGAACTCGGCCAGGTGGCGGCGCGTGCGCGAGCTCTCGGCGCGGAACGCCGGGCTCAGCGAGTACACGTGCGTGATGCCGCTGGTGAAGAGGAAGGTTGGAGGATAACAAGGGAGCAGTCAGATCTCGCAACGCGCGATCCAAAAGGTGGTAATATTATAGAGCAACACGCCACATCCTGACCGAACGTTGCACCTGGCAGACTTACAACGCACCACGCCGTGGTCTCCTTATAACGCATCTGACAACCTTACAAAGCGTCAAACGCACATACACACGCAGCACGCGCACGGACACTCTGATGCGCTGAGCGTGCTATGCTGCCCTGGTAACATTACAAGGCGGCATGTCCCGATCTGAGGACGCCGCACCTGCTGATCGCCTCCAGGTGAAGCTGTCCAGACACGGTGAGGTGCACATCCTCGCCGAAAAAGGGTCGCCGCTCCTCCTCCGCCTCGCACGTGGCCTGTTTCGGCGCCTGAAAACGGCGCAGCCCCTCAGACAGAACACGACCCATGGGGTTGCACGTGCACGACATTGCTTTGGAGGCGTAGCAGTGTTTCGTACTGATACAGTAGATTGGACACAAAGCATGTTCCAGACTCGACAGCAACGCAAACTCCCCGCTGTCGAAAAACAGCTGGCACGAAGCTCTGGGCTCGGGGAGTAAACATTGCGATACGTTTAGCGCATAGTTGACTAACTTAAAACAAACCTGGGGCACATTACATCTGGAATGAAGGGGACGTCGCCAACAGTTTGATACGTGTAACAATGACCACATGAGCACGCGAAGGGGGAAGGGGCACGTGCAAGACGCCTGGAGGCACCAGTGCAGCAGTCTGCACCCTCACTCCCTCACCACGACGGTGAACACGTCTCCGGCACCCTCGCAGTCGTTGGCGGTGATCGCGGGCGTGTGCACGTGCACGTAGCCGCGTCGCTCCATGTGCTCGTGCAGTGCGCGCGTCACGGCGGCACGGGTGCGCAGCAGGGCGGCCACGTGCGGCAGCCGTGAGCGCAGGTGCACGTGCTGCCGGGCTTGCTGCCACGTGGGCCGGGACCGCGCCGGGAACGGATAGCCCTGCTGATCGCAGCGACACGCCAGTGTCAGAAACTGGTTACCGGTGACCGAACGCCGGACGAGCCGCGGTCGCATCGGCAAGCACGACTCTGCCACAGTGAGCCACCATCTTCACGACTGTATGTGGACGTCACGTGATAGGCGCCAGTTCTCGCGCACGGCTTCGCCGCGACAGGCCCGCTCCCGCCGCTCCTGCGTTGATGTCACTCGCCTGTCGCGTTATGAATGTTCACTGTTCAATTCATGAACAAGATGAGGCGTGCACACATGACGCCGCGGAGGTGCATCGGCTGGACAAGATCACATGCCGCTATGTGCGTACATCGGCTGGACAAGGTCACATGATGCCATGTGCATACATCGGCTGGACAAGGTCACATGATGTCATGTGCATACATCGGCTGGACAAGGTTACATGACGTCGTGTATGTACATCGGCTGGAAAAGGTCACATGAAGCCTGTACGTACATCGGCAGGGCAGGGTCTGATGATGTCGATCTTGTGACACTTGAGTTCAGCGGGCTGTTTCCGGCCTGGGGTCAGAACCAGGTCACCGGAGACCTGAACAAAGCTGTTCACGTTTAGACCTGGCGACACAGGAACAGCCCATCCAGACAAGGTGGGGCACAGAAAACAAAGGCATAACACCAGACTGGGTGACAAATTCCAGGCAACATTCCAGCTGACTGTGGACTGCATTACAGGTTCCAGGTGAGCTGTAGGCAGCCTGTCCATGCAAAAATAATGTGGTGAGCTTCTGCAGGATTGTCAGAGTACCTGAGGGCTAACTTCTGAAAAAATGCACATTTGACTTCCATTATTTGTCTTCCTGTATCATGTTGTACACGCAACATTAAGAGTTTGAATACTCATCAATATCAGGCATGTGGGATGGAATCACTTCATATTAATGTTACTTCATCAAACACTACTGACATTGAGAGGTAGAGATACCCATCCCACGAACAACACCACCCATCTCATCACCTTTTATGGATATGGTGTTATTACCTTTTGCATCCGGAGATGGCTTGAAGACCAACTGAAGTGTTTCAGGACCAAGGCCATCGCTCAGGGAGGCAAACACATAATTTTTCTGTAACCTGACAGACTGGAGCCACCCCTGTGAAAAACATATATGTTAGCACTTGAACTTGATTGAACACTTGAATGAACTTCTTGTTTATTTTGGATAGTGTAAATATCAGATGCATATTAGATACTTATTCATGGTGTTCAATAAATTGCACAGGGTGGATCCAGGTAACTAATATAGAGAAGGCAGTGGCATCATCGGGGTCACTTTTTTACATCCCATCACATGGCTCTCTTATATTTCCATATCTGAACACACCCCTGACAAACATATCTGATGCATTTTTGGAATGGTTTACATCTATGGCTGTTATACTGTGACTATCAGTCTTTATTTTACCACTAAATAGGACTGAACTATATCAAAACCTTACTTTGATTTGGCATTACAACCCAGATGCCACCCATCCCCCCAAAATCCATGAGCCCCACATCAGCTATCGCAAATCCTTTATTTTGAAAGTCTGGCATACTATGCACATTGTGCAACCAGAATCCCTTTCTAAGATGGCATTCTTCAAGTAGTTAACTTTTTCTAGAAGAAACAAAATCTACACCATGAGCACTTTATGCACCCAGCACTTCCTGTTACTTACTGCTATTTACATACTGTTAGTTACTGCACAACCACCATGCATGTAATTGTAAGGCAATGAACATAGCACCCTACCAATTTTTGCTTCTTTGAGACAAGCAGATGCTCATGATTGCAGAAGGAAGTAAATTCGCTGACATGTTAGCATCGCATAGGAGGTCCCTCAGGAGGTCCCTCGGGTACCACGATTGATTAAAATGCATACCTGTACGGTAACCTGTGACTGATCCGGCGATAGAAGTGCATTTTGGACCGATTTTCGGAGGTACGCACAGGCCCTTGTCCATGTGACCATACCCGCACTGATCAAGTCAGTCACAGTATTACGCTCCTTCCAAAACAACTTTTCCCCGACACGATGGCAAACATATAACAGTGCTCCAACCGCGGTCGTCTCGTACTGCAAATGTGCAGTGTATTGGAATCATTTGTAACGAAAGCGCAGGAAATGCAGCTGTAGATATGGAAGCAAAAGTTATATGAAGATAAAATTATTCTTGAAGCATACTTACAATAAATGTCAAAAGAGATCATGGGTTCTGATTGAGCACAAAGAGTGTATTATTCATTTATTTTGAGTTATTTTATCTTTGAGGTCATGTTGCATCTATAACTGCTGTTATGTTAAAATGCTAAAAAGGATAGATTTGTAACATAAAAGACCGAAGCACATGCACCCCGCTAGACGGAAGTGACGCGAAAATGCATCCACGTTTTTCATTAACAACGTCATCAAAAAAATCAAGTTTATCTTTGAAAAAATATATTTTTCAAAACAAAATTAACATTATTTTATTTACAGTGTATAAAATAAATTAAAAATGCATATCTCTTTTTAAAACATTATTATATCATAATGAAGGAATTATTACGTCATTCATTGAATGATCCACTACCCAGCAAACACTGAGATGCCAATACTCAGGTATTGGTCCACCACACGGCCCACCTATTAAGCCGCCCTCTTTTACGGCCGTGTCTGTACGGTGAGGTCGCGCACTGTCTAGCTGCCGGTATATCTTACTTCCAACGCAAGATGTCGGGAAACAAGGAGCGTACCTTCATCATGATCAAGCCCGACGGTGTCCAGCGTGGACTCGTCGGCGAAATAATCAAGCGTTTTGAGCAGAAAGGATTTAAGCTGGTGGCAATGAAGTTCATGCAGGTTAGACATTGTCACTCAGTCTCCAAGAAGTTGAACCACTGTGCAGGATGGTTACGTGGCATGGTGTAGGTATACATTGGTATTCAACATTAGAAAAAATCATTGTACACCATTCGTTGTGTTTAAAGCGGAACATATTGTAAATAATCTCAAAACAAGTAGAATTATGCTCCTACCTTCAAATTTTCATAACTACGATAGCGAGCTCCCGAGTGCTGCGCGACCCCACCGCCTCAGCTCCCCAGCGCGGTTTCTGCATTGTTGTTGTGTGATTACCAGATTTCTGCTTGTCAAGAACCATAAAAAATGTGCGGGACCGAGGTAACAATAATAATGCAATGAAAAAATGTTTCTTATCTTGTCTAGGTATGTTTATGAAACAGACAGGCCAGAATAGTCCTGAACATAGCCTAAACTAACCTAAACTAACCTAACCCCCCACCCTATCCTCTTCAACCCAGTGTCCCATTAGCATCCATTTTCCCTGCCATATATATGTACTGTATTAAGAATTTTTGTTCAGCTACCATATTCTCATTTTGCTTTTCGTTCCCAGCCAAAAACATCATATTCCCCTGCCATGTTGACCAATCTGCAAATGTTATGGAAGATTGATTAGATATGCAAGAAACACATTTCATTGGACTCTTGTTGCCCTGGTCTCATAATTTTTATTGTTCTTGATGTGCAGTAATGTTGTGATCACCAGTAATGTTGTGATTGTGATCAGGCATAGAAATGGAGCTGGGGTCGTGGTTGCTGCATTTTGTGCTCCAATGTTGCTATAATAGTTATTTAAGTTCCAGGGTAAGAGTTTACATGACCTGTTTTACTATTAATTACAATATGTTCCACCTTAAAAATGATGATTGATGTACGATGCTCTTTCTTAACGTGAGGTAGCAATGTATACCCTGACCCATGGGATTGGTGCTCTGCCCCCCCCCCCCCCCCCCTCTTGTCTGCGCTCAACCTTGGTTGGACAAAATTGAATTGCAAAAAATTGCTGTCATGTTTTTGGAGGCCATTTTCCTAAAGTTGCCTCAGCATTACAGTTTCTAGCAACTTGGGATACCCTTTGTTCCAAAATAGGTGTTAGCTGCCCATCAAGTTTGGAGTGATTGGATTTACAATGTACTGTTGCTAAGATTTTCCTGCAGTTTGGCTGCTGCACCAGATGTGGTTGGGTGTAGAGCGTATTTTTTGCAGTCTGGGTCATGTTCAGAAAGCTCAAAGAATTCCTGTTAACCATCTTGCCTGTGTTTGGGGGGGGGGGGGAGGGGAGAGTAGACATTTACTATTGTTTTGGTCACATCCAGCTCTGAAAGGGGCTGTGGTTTAATGTGAAATGTTGTTGAAACCAGCAACAGACTGATCAGGCATGCTCCAAAGCAGGCCAGAGTAGCATTCAGGTGCAGTCAGTAGTGAGGCAGGGATTTACTTGCACAGCCTTCTGTCAGTGTTAATGGTGGTCGACAAGGTGTGGGTTTGGAAAGTCCTCTGCCATTTGTCCATACTGTAGAACCACATTTTGCACTAGAGATGCAAAGCATAGCTGTGAGATCCTGTTCACAATTTTCAAAATTATTATGTCTCAGGTAATTCCAACCAAATTGTTCCATGAAGGGTTTTCAAGCTCACAGTATGAGAATTTGAGGCCATCTTGCCTGGCTCATTCAGTGCATGCTTGATCTAGGCTCAGCACATCATTGGTAGGCAACCCATGCACTTGATGGATTTTTTGGAGACTGGCTGCCAGTATCATTATTGTTCATTAGGATACTGATGTCAAGACTGTGGCTTGAGTCCAATAAATACCATGGAGATACTTAAGGTTTATACACAAGTGGATTATTTTGATTGAGAGGTATATATTGCTTAAGGCAAGAAGGGTATCATCCAGTCCTGTTGGGGTTCATTGGTATGTAGTTTTGTGGGAGAGTTGAGTGTAATATTTTGTATGTTGTCATCAGTGCGTGTTTGCATCTGCCGCCTCTCCTCTCCTATGGTCTGTGGACAAGATGCTGGATTCATGATCCAGTGGATGATGATACCAAAACTGGAGCTTTTTTGGGGGGCCCAACTCTGATGTGGGAATGTGTTAATTTGCTACTGACTAAGAAGGGTCAACCTGGTTCAGGGCAGCCGCGAGGGAGCACCATGTAGCATGTAAAACCCTTTATAGTTCTGTGTTGTAAAAGGCTTAAAGATAGTTTTACCACATGAGCAGAATTAGCACATCATTGTTGGGGGGTTCAGGACACTTGGAGTGATCTTGACCAACCAAATCCTACCACTTAATCTATTTTAGATCAGCACTAAAAAACTTCAGAATCCACCAAGTAGATATGTGTGTTAAGTACCATAAGATTGTATGCAAAATTGCATTAGATTAGGGCTTGCAAATTCATGCCAGAAGCATGCAGAACAAGCACAATTTCCATAACAGTCATTCATGTAGTGGAAACAATATCTCCCATGCTTTGGTATGATTCACTGTTTGAGCAGCCCATGATTCAGTGGGGAGCCATTGTGCCATGGAGATACCACTTGAACCCATGTATGACCCAGAGTGCCATATTATGTCCTGCCATGCATGTGCCAACCTCCGTGGGTTCTCGGCAGTCATCGGTGGACCACCTGAAGCTGCACTATGCCGACCTCTCGGAGAAACCCTTCTTCAATGGCCTGGTCAAGTACATGGCCAGCGGGCCGCTGGTACCCATGGTCTGGGAGGGCCTGGACGCCGTCAAGACGGGCCGCGTCATGCTGGGCGAGACCAAGCCCCAGGACTCCAAGCCGGGCACCATCCGCGGCGACTACGCCGTCCAGGTCGGCCGGTACGTGTCAGCGAGCGCTTCCCACGGCCCGGCGGGAGCCGCAGCCGCTCTGGCCAGTCCCGTGGCCAGGCTGACAGCTGTGCACACTTCTGGTGGACTGCCGGCCTCTCGTCCGATGTCTGATGTCATGTCTGGCTGCCCTCATCTGATGTCTGATCTCTTGTGGGGTGGCCTGCCATCTGTTTTGTCCGTTTTTGGTGGTCTGTCTACTGCCAGCTGTTGCATCACCTGGTGGCTGGTGTGCCTCCTGTACCTCCTTTACCTGTGCCTTGTCATTCATCTGACTCTGACTCACATCTCATCTGACTCATGACTCATGTGTTCACGTCTGGTGGCCCATCTTGCTCCCATACCTGTGGCTGGCGAACCATCTGACTAGTGCCCATGTCCGTCCAAAGCGTGAAAGGATGATCACAGTTACAGCAGAATTCACTTACATTTTCATTATACAGGCAGGTGTCGAATGTACCATTAACCAGCACCCATGTCATGTCAGCAAATAATTCTGTGGGCAACAGTCACTTTTACCCCAAGGATTTATTTTTGTCGCACATTCACGTTTCAGTTGCGGGCGATCAGATCGAACTAATTTGAGATTTGTTGTTACGAATTTTGACGGCGCGTGCGATCTGTATGTGGCCTCTGTGCGATCTGTCTGTGGTCTCTGTATGTTTTGCTCTGGTGGCATCCGTGTTTTGTCGGGTGGTCTGATGCCCGGCAGCGTGCGCCTGTCCGCGGTGTCCTGAGTCGCCGCCGGCGGTGGGGGACCCGGGACAGGCACATCTCCCGCCGGCAGCCCCGCCCTCGCTGGCGCCTCTCCCAGACCGGGCCCGGCCAGCGGTGCCCCGTATTGATCGCGCCGCCATCGACAACCGATTAGCAAGGGAGAGGCGCAGGGGAGGGGGCATCCGGTCCCGCCCTGCTCCGCTGTCTCTGGACGGAGTGACGTGCGCCTCTCACGCGATCGGCCGGAACCTTTCGTGACGCCGGGGATGCCAGCAATAATGGCAACCTTATCCTACCGGTGGTAGTGCTGGAGCGGGGCCTGGGAAATCTTATTTGGAATTCGAATGAGTGTTGTATGTCTGGGTGAACCAAGCAAGGGTTACCGTCTTCCTTATGCAGTGCGAAAGCCTCATCTTTTCTAAACGACCGGCTTCATTTTTGTCTGCTGTCTGTTTACTGGAAGGTAGATCATAGCCTCCTAAGCACCGTGTCACGATCTTCCTTGCCGGATTTTTACGCGTGGAATCCCGGCATGACCCCGATGTGCGCGCCCCCTCTGCTACAGTGGATAAGAGCTGAAGCTGAAGTTACAGTTCCTGTTCAGCGAGGGCGCATCGGTCGTAATTCGCCTCGCCAAGTACCCGATCCGATTTTTGAGAATGTCGCCCGGTGTAGTCACTTCAATTGATCCGTCCGATGCTACTGCTCACAACTACATCTACCCATCAAACCGTACAATGTATCTGGACATTGTGTTATTCGTGGCACTTCGGCTTCTCTGTCATATTGCATCACGACGGGCATGTGAATAGCCACATGTAGATGCGCCAGCGGGCCGAACAAAATGCAGTCAAATGCTCCGACTTAGCTGACCTTGAATGCCGGAGCTGCTGTGTTCCGACGCGACTCATGGCGTTTCGTTTTATTTCTATATCGTTGTTTTTTACGTTTTTTAACGAACTCAGTGAGCAGATTATGTTGAGGGAATGTGATTGGGTGGAGGAGTCACTCCAAACCTGGGTCAAATATGACACAATCCTGCGGGTTTGCAAATCCGCAGGTTGAAAACGTAAGTTGTCCCGCCTTCCCACACCGTTTCGGGGCGCCGCTATCACTGCTTGTAACTGTCAGTTCTCAGTAGCTGCTCACTGAGTAGACCCGAAGGCCAGACAGCGATTACAGTGTCGGCGTCAGTGCGTCGGCGGGCACCGCTCCCTGGAAGCGCGCCGTGACTCACTGGCGCTCTCCTTACGCCTGAGCAGCTGCCGGCTGGGCCGGAGTCGCTGTCTGAGTGTGGCGTGGTCCGGCGGATCGTGAGACATGGCGCGGTGCCGAGAAGCCGCGTGGGTTTCGTGGGACCACCGAGCCGTGTGCCTGCTCACGGAGCCGCCCGAACCAGCGCGACCGACTGGGGTCATCGGGTGGCGACGGCCGCGGGAGGGGTGGGACGCTAACTGTCTGGGTTCTCAGAGTCGCTGGTGGTTTTGCGTCTTTGTGACTGAATCATCCCCGGGGAGAAACGACGACGCCGGTTCGTGCGGACTGAACTGCTGGAGGAGGTTGTTTGGGCTCATTCTGCTTTATGGGGGTGAAGTGTCGCGCTCTCGTTTGTGGTGACCGAAGCTCGTCTCGAAATGTGCGTCCAGCCTAACGTTACGACACTTACGACCGCTTCGTGGGGAGGACTACCATTTTTTTTTTCAGCGCGGCAAATGATGTCGGCAGTTGGTTAGTTGGCTCGCCTAAAGCCCTATTCATCAGCTCCACTGTGAACTGGTCCAACCAAAGGCCAACGCCTAATTGATTTCTTAAGAGTAATTTTTATCTGCGAGCCGTCTTATTTAGACGGAACGCCGCCGTGTTTCCCCCCATCTTCGCCGGCCAATTCAGGTCACATCCCTGTCTACGACAGCATTGTGTGACGGTGTGTCCCGGTCCGTCCACAGCAACATCGTGCACGGCTCCGACTCGGTCAAGTCGGCGGAGAAGGAGATTGACCTGTGGTTCAAGCCGGAGGAGCTGACCAACTGGACGTCTGCCTCCCACAGCTGGGTCTACGAAGACTAAGCAGCACTCTACCGCCACCTATCGGCACCCCGCCAGCGCCACCTCGCGGACAAACATTTTGATGCAGGCTGGACCTGGAGGTGTAGGACTAGGCAGTTAATTGCAGTCGTCACCTTGTGATTTATGCTTTTTGCTCTTGTGTTTACTTTGACAACAATGTCTTACACCCTAGGGGCCAATATACTGCTCGAATCAGCCCCCTATTTTGCTGGACAGAAGTGGTGATACGGCAAGTTCTGGTCGGCCTGCTTGAATCAAACTAATGACGGCTTGCGGACGTAAGTCATGAACAACATTGAAAAATGGATTGAGAGAGCGTTCAAAGGAGCTCAGCGCTCTTTGTTGTCGATGACATTTTCGTACGAGAACTTTCAAGTGCCCCCTGCCCCCCCCCCCTCAGGTCAAGCACGTATGCTAGCAAGTCGTAAACAGGAGTGACCGGATGGATGGAGCGTTTGAAGGAGTTCAGCGCTGCTTGCTGTCGTAATAATATTTCCGCACGGGAGCTTTCGAAAACTCCCCAGAGATCAGGGACGTATGACGGCTGCTTGCGTTTCTTCCGAGGCCGGTTAACCGTTTCATGGAGCGAGACCGCCTGCCGGCTCTCACACCACACACACACACACACACACACACACACACACACACACACACACACACACACACACACACACACACACACACACACACACACACACACACACACACACACACACACACACACACACACACACACACACACCACACCGCGCACGCGCACGCGCACGCGCACGCGCACGCGCACGCGCACGCGCACGCGCACGCGCACGCGCACGCGCACGCGCACGCGCACGCGCACGCGCACGCGCACGCGCACGCGCACGCGCACGCGCACGCGCACGCGCACGCGCACGCGCACGCGCACGCGCACGCACACGCACACGCACACGCACACGCACACGCACACGCACACGCACACGCACACGCACACGCACACGCACACGCACACGCACACCTCTCTCTCTCTCTCTCTCTCTCTTCTCTCTCTCTCTCTCTCTCTCTCTCTCTCTCTCTCTCTCTCTCTCTCTCTCTCTCTCTCTCTCTCTCTCTCTCTCTCTCTCTCTCTCTCTCTCTCTCTCTCTCTCTCTCCACGAACGTTAAACAACATTTTGGTGTTGGTCGTATAAGTTATTAGCTATTTGTATGGGAACTGCCTGAGCTGTTTTTCTGCAACATCGCAATGGCACTGGTATGCCACCTAAACGCAGCGATATGGGATATTGCCGTCGGTAGGGGGGCCAGTCATGGACCAGGACACGGCCGAATACGCCCTGTCCAAAACCGGTTTCGAAAAGCAGACCCTGGGACCTAAACCAGGTAGGCTAGGCCATGAAAGCTCCACACACGTGCAGTCATGTCCATTGTGTCCAGCTACCTGCAAACCATCGCAGGTTTTCGCAATACTTTGGACATAGTTGCCAAGACGGTGTGCCGTTGCAATTTCAATGGTTTCGTCGATCAGCGATGCGAAGCCTGACGCTCACGGTCGTTTATTGAGCGGTTATTCGTGGTGGGGTTGGATACTCTGCGATAGAACATCCGCCAATGAACGTAGAACAAGCAGGAAAGCCTGATGTGAGCATCTGTTTTTTGGCATTATGAGTTACTATGAGCTACAAGGGGCTTTTGTGTTAGCAGTTGTACGCCTTCGTTAGACGGGGAGGTGCGCGTTAAATGATGTTATCAGGTAATCGTTGATCAATAGCCAAGTTTTTAAGCTGGGCCCAGTGCCACGAATGAGCAACGGTAAGCAAAATATTACATTTGGAAACCATGAGATATCGAGATTGTGCTCAGAATTTGCAGACATACTAAACTGGTGTCCAAATAATAAATTGTCTGATCTCTCACATTCTAACGGCCAATGCAAAGTTCTATGGTAAAGGCTGCACGAAACACAGACGGCCAAACCCGGAATGTTACGATGATTTGCGAAGTCAGAAGGCTACGATGATCCCTCGAGCATCGGGCTTCACATGCATTGCGCGAACTTTCTCGCAAACATAGCGAGCATCCACGTTCTGCCGTCCTAGCACCCAATGCATGGTAACGTTCAGGGCTGCCCAAAACGATGGTCCGTGGCCCCAAACACAAGCGGCAAAGCCGAAAGGCTTTGTTGACTCATACTGAATTTAAGGTAGGCAAAACTGCCAGCGGGCATCGGCGTTCATCACAACGAATCGAAGATCATTTCTAAACACACAGTGCCAAAAAATGTTCCTCTGACCAGTTCCTGAGATCCTCTTAGGAACTGGTTAGAGTCCATCTAAAGAACTGGTTATCTTAGTAAGGTGGCATGTATTTGTTAAACTTTGTTCGCGCTCAGCGAATATGCAGCAATTATAAGGTTTTGATGTCCACGTTGTCTTAAGCTGCTCCTAAAATTTGTATTTAATCTAGCGTGTGCATTTGCGAAGATCATGTGCATCACAGGAACACATGGTTCACCGATACGCAGCAATGGAGCTTAGGTCAACGAATACCAACTGAAAAATATGGATTTTAAGGACAGCTAGTAACGATACGGACCTCAATCGAACCGCTGCACATGCGTTTACTTCGACACTAACCACGGAAGCGTCAGCATGCGGCTGGTTTGGAACATCACTGCACAGGTGTTACACGTTGAGAAAAAGCTGCGTATCCGTTGTGATGAACACCGGTGCCCACCGGTGAATGTCTTCCGTTTCTGGCACCTTCTCGATACGGGTCATCTGACTCACTCGGCCTAGCGGCCTGTGTTTCGGGCGGTCCGCGTATTGCAGTACCGTGCTTGTGTGACAAGACGTCAGGCCCCGAACGTCTGGGATGTCGGTGAGGTTCATGCAATGTTCGGGGTGAGTACTTTGCTTACCTAATGCTGGGTATGGGTCGTCACAGCCCTCCAGCCTGGCCTCATGTCACTCCTGTATTTCGTGCATCCCTCAGCGCTCGGCTGTGTATCGGGTGTTAGTGAAGCCGAGCAATCCTCCCATATGGCGTATGAGTCACGTGGGAAGAAAAAGCATACGCAAGGCAATGGAAATAAATCGTAAAGCTGGTAGCATTTTATTAAGGCGGGATGCTTGTAATTGGAAAGCTGATCGCTACCAGCACAATTGTTTTGCTCGTTTTTACCAACTAAGTTAGAAATCGCTTTGATAGACCGAGCCTCGCCAATACATACGCCAAAATTGTTCGTCTGGTTCTATTCCGATGCAAAGGTGTATTTGCCCAGCACTTGTCTTTTCCTTCACTTCCACACTACAAAAGGAAGCGCTCCGTCCCGGTATCAGAGCCAATGCCATCAACGATATTGAAATATCCTGCTCTCCACACCAACGGACGTTCATATCAGACTTCTCTGCAGTTTGCGTGAGTCTTAACATACAGAGTGCCATAGGCGCCACTCAACCCATTCTGTTCATTTTTTTCTAGTATCAGAGGGCGAAGCAGCGGCGGCAAGTTGGAGCCGGCAGGGGCGCAGCCTGCTTCTGTGTGTACCGCCAGCGCTCAGTGGCGGCAAGTTCGAGCGGGGCGGGGCGCAGCCTGGTTCTGTGTGTACCGCCAGCGCTCAGCGGCGGCAAGTTCGAGCCGGCTGGGGCGCAGCCTGGTTCTGTGTGTACCGTCAGCACTCAGCGGCGGCAAGTTCGAGCCGGCTGGGGCGCAGCCTAGTTCTGTATGTACCGCCAGCGCTCAATGGCGGCAAGTTCGACCCGGCTGGGGCGCAGGCTGGTTCTGTGTGCACCGCCAGCACTCAGCGGCGGCAAGTTCGAGTCGGCTGGGGCGCAGCCTAGTTCTGTGTGTACCGCCAGCGCTCAGCGGCGGCCAGGGCGCCGTTTCTGGCGTAGCGGGAGCGCGGGCCGCGGCAGGGCGCTGGCGGAACTCGTCGGACCCTGGTTGGAGCCGCAGTGAACGAGCGCAGACCTCAGCCCCTGGTTAGCTCCGCGGAACGGGGCGCCTCCGGGCATCGAGAGCAGACTGAGGCCCGCCTCGGAGGGGGGGGGGGGGGGGAGGCAGATCAGAGCGCCGCCGGCCGGACGCAGGCCGCGGCTCCACGCGCTACGTCTCTACAACAGGGGACACCCGGAACCGACTCGACTCGTTAGGAGCCTCCCATTGTTCCCAGCCACTCTAGAACGCCCCGTCCGCGAATAGAGCGCTCAATACCCTGCCAAGCCGCCCTGGTCCCTGGTTTCGCCAGACCCCGGCATCTGTCGGCATCAGCCGTGTATGCAGCGTTCGCAGGCATCGACTGCGGGTGGGGCGTAACGCAGGGTTTCGCCGAGAATTCAGCGCTGTCTCTTCCAGTGGCATTGTTCTACATCGAAAGTAATTACGATGACGTTGCAGCGATGTGCGGTGGTCGCCTTGCGGCCTGCTCCTCTTATTTCAATTTCGTCTGACTCCCGCTTTCTGGGCGTCTCTACGGTATGGTTTAATTTCAATTGCGTTGGATGTGGGAGTTTGAGCACCCCTCCTCGGATTTTACGCCCTCTTCTCTGGCGTCCCGTAGACACGTTTCAGAGATGAAAGCCTTGCCAGGACCGCTGTAGAAAAGCCTCGAAGTGGAAGAACTTCTGCGCCGGCCTGAGTTTCCAGCCGACACTCAGCACCGACTGCTTCCTTTTTCGCCATCGCAGTCAAAAGTATGCTTTAATAGAGGCATCTGAAGTAACCTTTCCAAAGCCTTTTCACTGCAAGCAGGGAAGCGGACGGATAGGTGAGTCAAAGCAGCACTAAGCACGAGATGTTCGACACGTGGGCTTCGCGCCGAAGGTCGTTCTCATGGACATTCGTCGGACAGCTGCAATGATTCAAGCATCGTGACCCCTCTCAGGCCTTCTAGGTGGTTAGTTAAATCCTTGGTCTGAGTGCGGCTGACGACGCTGCATTCCAAAAATCAACCACGTAGAGGGTGGGGTAAATTCGAACAAGATCAAATGGATATTTTAAGGGAACCTTGTCTATTAAACACCTGTTATGGACCGCGATGACACGTGTGACCATGTGAAGTGTGGGAGAGTAGCACCATTGCCACACCGCCCGATCGCTGAGCCATTACCGTCCGCCCAGCCATTACCATTGGCCTTCTCACCGCCGTAAAACGAAATGGGGTTCTAAACTTGCGCATCTGGACCGCGAGGAGCGCCGATCACCAGCTGGGTACGGAGTCGCTGCGCACATGCGAGCTGTCTACACATGGAGGCGATCGAGCCGACAGCCTGGGACATCCCATAACTGCGCCGGGTCCCTCGTTTTACGACGCCCCGGCTCGCTGGAGTCACTCCGCCAGGCTGTAAACGGCAGCGACGCTGCTCCGCGACTCGACCGCCGGACCCGGCCCTACCAGCGGGGAGCGTCGGTAGGTTGCCCTCCCCCGCCCACGTCATGGCTTGATCGGCACAGCGCAAGTCACGTGGCCGACGCGGCCGTTTTTGTGCGCGGGCCGTCTCTGAATATAGTCGGCCGCGGAGGCAGACGGAGCGCAGGCCCGCCCGCCGGCGCCGATCGTAAAGCCGTGCCGCCGCTCTCCGTCGGTCTCGATGCGCCGGGTTTGTCAACGCCGGACTGACAGAACTGCGCTCAGACATGCGCCTGGGTCGCGCAAATGGATCTTGGAATCGATTCTCTGATTGCTGGACTCTGGATCTTTTAGAGTCGCAGGTCAGTCAGTCATTTTGAAATGTTGCCGAAGAACCTGAGGTCCAAATGTATTTCTAACTTTCTCCAAGGGACCTTCTGTAATCTCAGATTTTGAGTAACTTTGTCTGAGTTGTTATATATCGGGTCTTGGATCGTTGCCCCCGGGGTCGTGAACCGTTAATGTAAGTTGTAGAAAGATTTTTGAAGTTCACTGCTCCTTCCAAATTTTGGTTAAGAATTTTCCAGGCACACTTATCCAAAGGTACATGACTTTTGCCCCTGATCCTGTAGCACCCGAAAACGCAACTTGTCTTAAAATCAGCTGCAAGCCCAACCACGGTATTACAACCGGTGACATTTAAAAGAAAAGCTGGCTATTTTAAGCCGGCCGACGTCGTTGCCTCTTCTATCACAACTCAGCATGTCATGACACCTATATGAATAGCATTTGACAAGCATGCAATAGGCCCCTGGATAATAGTAACGCTGCTAGATTGAACACACCCCTTTCTGCAATTTTCCTGCTGTGATAAAAGTGTTCAAGCACAAAAATGATAGGCTACCTAAATTGGAAATCCATGCTACATAGATGGAGAGCCCAAAACACGTAAAACCAGGCCACAGACAGCGTCTAGCACGTGTTCTCATCTAACATCGTCACACATGCACATATATATATATATATATATATATATATATATATATATATATATATATATATATATATAGCTAACAGGTTCTTTTGAAACAAATGGACAAAATCCAATATTTTTCGAAGTAGTATGGTCGCTAGATCTACTTATGACGGTTCTAGACCTGTATGCCGCTTTGGAGAAAACCGGGGACGCCTTCCTGACCCCTTAGAATCCGTAGGTACAAATTGTTCTAGAATATTAGCCTGCCTGCCAGGCTTGAACTCAAATCACTAAAATGTGTCATGTCAGTATGTGCCAGCCTCCGCCTTTTAACCTACTCATTTTCGTCCCGCCTGCCTTAAAATGCAAGCAACAACGATCATAAAATTGCACACACGAAAGCATAGCATGCCAAACCGACAACCTCACAAAAAGTTGCATGCTTAGGCCGGTCCACGCTGGCATGCTTGTTGGTTTACTTGAGACCATCGACATGGATTCTGGGACGGATCTGTAAGTCATACAACTTAGATCTTGCAAAATCTAACATGAATTTCGAACTGTTGAAGGATCTTTTGAGGTCCTCGGTATGTGTCCAGTTTTTACGCGCAGATATTCCAGGATTTTGTCCTATTTTCGGAATTTGTCGAAGCTGTATCGATATCTATTTTTCCTAATTTTGTTGATAGACTATTTGGTTATTTGGGAGTGATCATTTTTCCGATTTTGTAAAGGCATCCTTAGTGATTTATGAAGTTGCCATGTGTTCCAAGCACATACCTGGATGTGACTGCGAGCAAACGTCGGAGGGTCCTGCGGGGGATGCCACCTTTAACTCCTGCCGGTTCATCTTGTTCGCGATTCACAACTGTAGATTTTGACGCAGCCGCATCGACAAACTTGATGACGCTCCCCATTTCCGAGTCCACAGTGCACAGAAACCGACCAGCCGTCTCACAAAGAGCGCATCCCCTTGTCCCTGTTCCAACGACGAGTGCCCCACATTTCCGAGAAGCCTGGTTGCCTCACTCCAGATCAGAACGGCGCACTGACTCAGCGGCGGTCGTCGTCGGACCGTCTGTCGGCCCTCAGCCCAGCGCCGCGGCGCAGTCACCACTCTGAGACGTGCGCCAGCCGAGACGTCCGGGCGGGGTCGGCATCAGAGACGTCCGGGCGGGGTCGGCATCAGAAACGTCTAGGCGGGGTCGGCATCAGAAACGTCTGGGCTGAGTCGGCATCAGAGACGTCCGGGCGGGGTCGGCATCAGAGAGGCCCGGGCGAGGTCGGCATCAGAGAGGGTGGGGTCGGCGCCAGAAACGTCCGGGGGGCGGGGGGGGGGGGTCAGCACCAGAGAGGCCCGGGTGGGATCGGCACCAGAGACGTCCGGGCGAGGTCGGCATCACAGAGGCCCGGGTGGGGTCGTTATCGCCCTGGCGCGCGGCACTACACGACACCGCGCCTTATCATTATAATAACGGCACGCTTTTACGTGGATTATCGGGGCAGGCGTGCATATTGGTTGTGAGGTGGCGGCCTTGGCGCCAGCTCATTCCCGCAGGACTTTGCTCTGCTCCTAGTGACGTGCGCTGTCCTGCAATTGGGACTTCCGAGGGTTTCAGCAGGCGGCCCGACAAACTTTGGACAGCTCAAGACAACTTTGCTGCCGTTCTTTGCTGTTAATAAACAGTCACTGACTGGTGAGCAGTGGTTTCTTGAATTCCTTGTTTATGCTCGCTGCTTTTGATCGTTCTGAAATGAGGTGTAGGGCCCCATTTGATCTGACCATTGAACGCTCGCCGACCGGATACACATACCCATGCCCGCAAAGTTGTGACGAGGCGGTGGCTAAATGAGATTGATGGTTTTATTTCGGGGCAGGATTCGGTGCCAATAACGCACTTTTCTGCCTTCTTCCTGGCTGCTCCTCCATCCCCAACAGATGGATATTCTTATTGAAGCGATAGGTGCTGTTCTTAATTTGTACAGCGCCAAGGAACCGTCTCAAGGGAAAAAGGAATGAAAATGCGAAGTAAAAAAAACGGGAACTGCGCAGATACGAGACCACATGTCAGGCGGCAGTTGACAAGGTACACCTATAAGCAAATGAGCCTCCCGTCGTGCTCTGTAGGGGACACAGTTGCGCGCATAGCTCAACACGGCATAAAGTGTCGGCAGCACCGAAAAACAGAAACCATCTCTTGATAAGCGCGTGTATTGCTGAATCAAACGGCCCAGTCCACACGGAGCCAGCCCGGCGGGCCCAGCCTGGCAGGCCTGCTCGAACGCTCAGATCCGCCTGATCTGCTTGAACGTTCAGATCCTGGCGTTTCTCAGCCTAAGCTCGGCTGTACTGTATACATATTCACAACACTATCTAGTCTACATGATGCTGAGTACTCCAGCCAACGGGCGCCGCTACGTGACACATTGATTAGGAGCGCAATATAAATACCGCCTGAGCTACACAGAACGTCCGCTGCGGAAACACAACATGGTCTAGTGATTGTCATCTGTCGTAACCATCAAGGTATGGCAGCATCACACTCAACGCATGCAGCTTATTCAAAGCATGTCAAACCCTTAAATAAGAAACACTTCCTTGATGTGATCTACGTCACTAGCATGTCACACAACACTTAATTTGTAAACGCAACTGGCAAAATATGCATGACTGGACAGTCGATGCCGCTGTTGTATAGACACTGATGTTTACACTAAAGAACGCCCCACCTGAATTTGAGCACCTCACTTCAGTTTAGGGGGACCGCGACCTTTGAATCATTATCATCCCACAGGAGGGCACATTCTGGGTCGCACGAGTCTAGTAGCTGTGCATCACGGACTGAGTAACTTCTCCGTTACAAAGACAAGGCTATTTCCAGTTCATGATCGAAGACCGGCTTTTCCAGAACTTTGTGTTTAAGTTACCGTTCACCAGGATCATATCCAAGGTCGATGGCATCTTACTCCGCTTCAGATTTCGAATGTAAACCGGTGAATGACCTCGTGGGCAGAAAACACGCTGCGTCATCAGCGCCTGATTCCGACAGCCCGTCATAATACATGCACCCTTCACTGCATACACATACAGCGGCGTATCCACATCATCAGCTGCTGAGGCAACACTCCATTCATTCATATCACATGGGATGACTGTATGACGTCACGCAGCCAAGGCGAGCGCGGCGGCCTTTGGCAGCCGTCAGACGCCGTCACGGCGGCGCCTCCTGCTGACGTCACTGGGGCTGCAGACCGGCCCCAGCGTCGCCGCTCGTCGCCACACCTCGCGCCACGGCCTGCCGGCGGTCTGCCGGCGGTCTGCCGCCGTCGCCGGGCTGCCGGCCGGCCCCAGTGTCGCCGCTCGTCGCCAAACCTCGCGCCACGGCCTGCCGGCAGTCTGCCGCCGTTGCCGGGCTGCCGGCCTGCTCGGCTCACATCTTCGTGGCCCGGTAGAAGCTGTCGTCGCTAGGCGACATGCCGGCGATGTAGTGGCCCGAGCCGAGCTCGCCGCTGGCGGTCGTGAACGGGTGCGGGTAGGGCACCGGCAGCGGCTCCTCGAAGCCACTCAGCTTGTTGAAGTTGTACGGCGGCGGCAGGCCGGCCGACTGCTCGATGAACAGCTGGCGCTCGTTGTCGGTCGTCGTCGACACCGAGCTGTTGCCCACCGAGTCCGTAAACGACACTGGCGACAGACAAGAGCGAGCTATTGGCAGCAATGGGAGTGGGAGTGGCGTATGTGGTGGAAGCGCAGTCAATGAATATCGGTGACAAACACAAAATAGCACGCCTCGATTGAAAAAGCTAGCCTGTTAAATGTCACATATCAGACAAATACCCTGGTTCTGAAGTACCCGTTACCCGTTATCCCGTAAAATATTATAAATACCCGTTTATTATTATTATAAATACCCGTTTCCTTCGAGCACGACTTTGATTTGCTTAAGAAAGCAGAGCACATCATGATTCGCTTCATAATGTGGGCGTGACATCATTGTCACATTAGTCGTGGGCCATAAACATGAGCTCCGCGTCTGGGCTCTCCCGGCTTTACGAGATCAAGCTCCCATAATGCTGAATCCAGACCGTAAAACACAAATCCTGCCACTCAGATCCGATAATTTGGCGCGGCCAGCCTCACAAACAATAGCCGTGCTGCGTCCGTCCGCTGCAGCAATGGCGCCACAAATCGGGCTCCGACCGCCCTCCGTCGTCCAGCGTCCACTGCGGCCCGCTCTGCCGAGACATCAGCGACCCATCCATCCCTCTGCCGTCCGGTCGGCGTCGGCTGGCCAGCCATGGTTAGACCTCGGCTGGCTCCGTGCAAACATTTCCGGGCTCTGTCCCTGCACGGCGCGTCTGTCGCCGAAGCTATCATTCAGGGGCCGGGTGTGTTACAGTCGCGTGCCGGGGCCCACCATGCCCCCTCCCCCTCCCCCCTCCTCTCCGCACCCGACACCAATCGCCAGAGGGGCGGACGGCGCTTTTGCTGTGGTCAACGTGGTGTCTGTTGAGCACACGCAAGCGCGGCACGGTACGCCAGCTGCAGTCGACAGCGTGTTCCCTTAGCATACGCCCGTAAGTATATCATCAACACACCTTCTAAGCGCGCGCAAATACTAGAGGCGCACTAAATGCAACCGCGGCACCTCCACACACTCACGCGTGAAAGGCACACCAAATGCTGCCGCGAAGCCTTCCAGACGCATACACGTGCGGACTGCATGAAACGCAGCCGCGACTGTTCCGTCCGCACGTGCACGTGCACGTGCGGACGGAGCACCAAACGCAGCCAATGTATCTCCTCAGCACGCTCCTGTGCAGACATTGCACTGTGTGATCCCGCGGCACCTGCACACGTGTGCTGCAGGTCAGCAGCGGGGGGTTGATGGCGGGGGGGATGTGCTCTGAGTCTGACGGGAGGCGAGCCTCTGCTGTGACCAACGATTGGTGACGGTGGACTGCTCGTGGGTGGTGGGGTTGGTGGCTGGATGGGGAGGGGGGGGGGGGGGGCTCTGCTCTGAGTCTGACGCGAGCTCTGCTGTGACCAACGATTGGTGACGGTGGACTGCTCGTGAGTGGTGGGGTTGGTGGCTGGATGGGGAGGGGGGGGGGGGGGGGCTCTGCTCTGAGTCTGACGCGAGCTCTGCTGTGACCAGCGACTGGTGACGATGGACTGCTCCCCAAGCCGCTGACCAGCAACAATGCTGCGCCAGAAAACACCAATCACACGAGGAAAATATGAGACTCGGTAACACTATCGCTGGTATAAAGGCAGCGAATCAGCTGTTTTGGGGTGACGTTGACGGCTTCTGCCAAAGCCACAGTGAAAATGACGAACATGAGCCTATAGCCGGGCTGGACTGTAACTATGTCTTTGTTTCGCTGCCTGCCATGAGGCAGTCTCCCTCTTGCTGTCCATGTCCCGCTGTCTGCCGTGAAGCCGTCTCCTTCCACTGAGCCTGTAGCCCAGCTGCGCTCCTGCCCGACAGTCGTCGCCGTCTGTCCACGCTGTCCACCTCCGCCAACCCCGGCCCCCTCTGGCCTTCTCTGCGGTGCAGGCGGCCCGCCAGCTATCAGCGCCGCCGTGCGGGCCTCGTCGGCTGACCGGGCGCCTCCCCCGGGGGCCTGCGCCGCGTCACGCCGACGACAAATGACAGCCTTCGCGCCCAGTGGAGCGCAGCAGTACCCTCTGTTAATGTCGGCCACTGTGCTCACTGCGCTGAAGTGGAGGAGGAAGAGCAGGAGGAAGAAGAGCAGACGTGGGAGAAGAGAGGGGACAGAGTGGGAGGAGAAGAGGAGAAGAAGAGGGATCTGGGTCGTTTGACGCCTGTAAATATGGTTAAACCTAGGGTGCTAAGAGGCATTTACTTTCGGAATGGCTGGCTGGGACATAATGACTAGCAAGTGGGAGCGACAAAAATCCGATGCCAACTCCGTTTTACACCCGTGAAGTGGCGTCTAGAATTTCCCTTTCACCCCAGTGCATCACTTAAAGTTGTTCTAAAGCCGCGTTGTGAAAGTCACATTAACAAGATGACGGGCTTTCGTGTTACAAACGTTTGGCTGCAGTCTTTAACGCACACGCATAAAAACAGTCACGAATGGGGCCAAACAAGCCTACATATGTTAAGAGAGTATCCAGGTTCTTTGAAAGGTTTATGGCGCACTTTTTAAAAGGGATTCTTTGGAAGCAGCAGGGTAGATTGAGAATAGACAGCACAGGCCATGAAAAGGACTCGAAAGAAGTAATTCACCGTTTGGTTCCGGTACATCGATGAAAACGACGAACCGATGACCGACACAACAGCAGCATACGCCCAGCTATTAAGGTCGTTTGGCGATGTTCGCCTTGTTCTGCTGGGCGGGAAGCTGCCACCAGCTTGTCATGAAATGTATGTACGCCAGTTTACCGATACGCGTGTGGGACACGCACTGTTTGTTACAAGCTGGAAGGTCCATTTCCCAAGACAATATTCAGACAACTTAACTTATAACTTTGTGTGAGGCTGACGAACGGAAGGACGTTATCTCCGGATGTGACGTCACCATCAGTGAAGACGTCTATTTCACAAAACCACAATTTCTACAAGAAGCTTTTCAGCTTTCATTACCGAAAAACTTGCGTTTGTCGTGTCCACTGGAGATTTACAAAATTTCACTGGAGATTTACGAAAAATAGAGACAGAATTTCGGATGCAGTGATATACCAAAAGACGGGAAAATAGTCGGCCGCTGCATTAGTTCCGCCCAAAACCAGCCCCGTCAACAGTGCGTGAGCTTCATTAGCAGTCTACGTCAGCTGTGGAGAGTCCTTCAGACGTGTGAGCGTGAGGTGAGGGGGGCGGGCCAGGCTGATGACGGGTCTGAGGTCACGTGGGCCCGGATCTGGGGTCCGGGGACAGTGTCAGTCGCCAGACAATGGCCGGTGACAACACGGCCCGACACACGCGTCAGGCAGTGCGGACCTGTTTGTGTTCTCACACCTGACGCGACCCTGACAACGTTATGAATATCTGCATTGTTCGGCTGTTCTTCATCAGACAAAAAGACGAGGCCACGGATCCGTCGACCACACACCTGGACGGGGATCGACCAACCGATCAATCCTCGAGCGCACACGTGAACTCAAATCGCGGTGTTCGACTCACGCCTCTCAGATGCAACCGGAACCGGTGGAAGTGGAGCAGTTGATCCGCTATGGCAAGTCAGCTTCTCATCCATTTTTAGATAACCGCTCACCAAAACATGTCATTGTTACGGCGCATAGGTAGCGTCTTACAACAATCACACACAAGGATCACTGCTTACGAAGAGCCTTTTAATGCCGCTGGTGACAGGGGTGTGGAAGCAGTGTGATAAATTAATCCCGGCCCACGCTATGAGCTGCCGGCATCCGCCAGCCCCGCCGTCAGCGGCCCGCGGTCCGATCCACACCACTGACCTCTGTTGGTCCGGTACGAGGTGAAAGTTCTGGGCAGGCTGCCGACGCCGTTCAGGTTGTCGGTCCGGCTCTGCCTGGGAACGGCAACCTCGTCCACGTCCTGCAGCATGTCCTCCATCTCCTGGCGACCGGACCTGCCGTCCCGCCGACCCAGTGACGCCGACGAGTAGCTGTACATGTTGGCCACGCCGCCGGACGTCGATGACGAGCACATCCGATCTGCCGAACCGCAGGCACGTCACGCGTGTAAAAACACGGCCGGAATAGCCGCCCCATCAATCTGGATCTGGGCGGGCCGAGGTCAGGCCAGGATCTTGTCCGTTCCTCTGTTCTTGCCGTAAAAAGGCACGGCCGCGAGCTAGCCCGGCCCAGATGCGACCCCAGTTCAGCCGCACCGGGCGTGGGTGGTACCCTTTGATCAGAGCCAAGTTCTGCACATCATGGTCTTGCTAGATGATAGGCCTAATGGCTATGACCCGTCTCCGAAAACCGTTGACACGGATGCATTGGGACGTGTTGCAGAAGAGATCGGCTCTGTAATGCGATCGGTAGCTGGCCCCGCAGACAACGATACCTGCACTGCACGCCGCCCGGTCAGCCGTCACGTCACAGAGCGCCTCGAAGCCAGCCGGCTTTTTCGCATCGACTCATCCCAACTGACCTCGCTTGGCATCGTCACGCCTTTTGCAGCAGGCACGGGACTTGCAGAAGTAGCAGGAGACCGCAACGATGACGACGATGGTGGCGAGCGCCCCCAGAGCCACGCCCAGGATAAGAGGGAGGCTGCCGGCACAACAGCAAACGTGAGGAGCCCCAGTCCGGCTCAGATGGGCGGCACGTGCGGGACATAAAGACAAGCCCAGCAGGCCGATAAGGGATGACAGGCCTGGAGTTGATTCACTTGATTCTAGAAAACGGCGTCAATCTCAGAACTTGACGGGTTTTGTAGTCGGCCCAGCAGTCAATCGATACGTTCAGTGCGTTTCTCAAGCTGATATCAAAATTAACTGCAAGCTCGGTGAAGCTAAACTAGAATGGATTCTCTGGCCTGAAAATTAGGCACAAGCCTGCTGCACGAATACGGACAAACTTGTGGCGCGCAAGAGTGTTAGTTTTGTAAATGACTCTTCGGTCGAACTGAGGACCCGGCGGCATAAACTCCACCCAAACTGCTCTTTCCCAGCGGATGAAGAGCACTTTATTTTGACGAACGACAATTTATTATGTCTGTTGTGACATTTATCAAAAAGTCTTTAATTTGAAGAGCATGATAGTCCGGCCAGCAAATAATGACCAAATTAAATCGACTGCTTGACAGCAAATTTTCCCCACGCATTGCAATATTCCAAGCAAAAACATTGGGGAGCCAAAGCCAAATTTGGGGCAGCCCAACATTGAGGAGAGAGGCAGTGCAAGGTTATCACAAAAGAATACAAATCGACAACCCTGGTGCGTACCGGTTAGGGACTGCAGAAACTTTGTCCCAATCATAACTAAAAGGCAGCCATGAGCGGAGGAGGAGAGCGAGGCAAGTAAGAAGCGAGTTGCTTATCACGATGTAGATTATATAAAAGTCTTACGTAATGGAGCCAGCCACTTTTCAGAACGCACATATCGATGCGACTAGTCTATGTGTTAGCTTTGGGAAGTCCGTCTGTTTAAAGAGCCGAACCCGCAGACGTTAACTGATGTAGTGTTCCCGGGCTGATTAACAAATCGCAAAGTCTGGCAAGTCATTTGTAGGCTGTGTCAGAGCTGGCAATTTTAGCAGATTAAATCAATCAGTTTACGGTGATTTACGCTGATGGTGACTTTAAAAGAGACTGCCGAAACGATAACTCACTGGTTGAAGATCGAGCTCAATGAACTGAACTATATGCCACTATGAACTAACTAATGAACTAACTATATACCACTATGCAGTCTTCACGGTCCAAAACCTTTTTTTGTTTAGATCATTGCCAGTTTATGAAAAACCGGCGTCAATGAAGGTAACAATGCCTCCATTCTTTTTTAGACACTCGGACCTTTTGCATTGTTCTATCTATTACTGCGCGCATGTGGGTAGAATGGCGTTGGGAGCCGTCAGTGATTTGTACACGTTCCATTTGCACACCCCGTGCTGAGGCTTCTATGTTCAGAACCGCCCCGCTGCCACAATCGGACAGACATTATTATAAATGCGCAACACACGTGATTCGTTAGGCACAGGAACCCACACTTTTGTCGACGTGATTAATCATTTTCTCCTTCGTAACGCAGCGTCAGTTTCGTGTCGCTGCAATGTCATGGTAGACTGAGTCTGGTCAAATTTCGACTAGCATTGCGGACATTTCCGCGAAATGCAAATTCTGCGCTAGTACGTTAATGAAATGGGGAAGGCTATATCTGTTTGCATGGCAACAGATATATATGAGGCTTGGGCCAAGCTGGACCGCTCAAATTGAGCAATACACCAGTGTTTGCGTAGAATCATCGGCTTACAATCTCAATAATGATAACCGTTGGATTATTTACTGACACTTTATAGGGTTGAAGGTCTTCATGGCATGTTGGATCCGAAGGCACGTCATCCACGCCTTAACAATTATTGCGTAATGCCGCGAGACCCCTGACAAGGCTAGCTTCATACTTATGCATATCCATATTCATGCTGTCGTTATCAAGCGTATAGATTCTCCCGCTTGTCATTGGTATTATTTCCAGACACTACCTCATACATGCATGGTAGGCATTGGTGCAAAAGCACGTCACAAGTCAGGACAGAACGTCACAAAACTGGCTGACGCATGGCGCCAACCGCGGCTGCACACACAACTGAAACGACCACACCAGCTGCTCCGAACTGCTCCAATTCTAAACAGGGCAACTTCGATCAGAGCGCACGACAGCATGCCCGTGCTTTAAGCCAGCGCCGAACGTAGCCCGCTCCATCCCACCGACCCGGCGAGCACACGACGTCAGACGGCAGGCCAAACAGGAAGCGGCTATTTGAATCAATGGTGGCGACCGGACAGCGCGGCGGCGACGCTCAGTCTGGCGCGCCGCGCCGACACCCGCCGCGCCGGACAGCCCCGCCGACAACAGCACCACATCCTTTATGCTGTCCGCATTGATTGGGGGTGGAAAAAGCCCGGCCAGCCAGAGTAATCGTATCAATCAAATGCCGCCACCACCGGCGAGCAGTGCTGGCGCCCGCACAGAGAGGAGATGGGGCGCCGGAGGTGCAGGGGGCGGGAAGGGTGAGACGCCCGCACAGCGAGGCGATACGGCGCCGGAGGTGCGGGGGGCGGGAGGGGTGAGACACCCGACGGCGCCGCCGCCTCCAGCGGTGATGCAATGACGGCTCTCTGTGGTGGTGTCAGCCTGCCGGGGGAGATGAGCTTGCACTATCGCACATGGGCAGGCGGCCGGGCTACGCGCGCGATGGAAAGCAAACATTTGCGGACCGCCGGAACCTCCGAAAAACGAACGAACGACCAACAAGAGAGCAGGGGACGATTAATTGCTTTTCTCTCAACGCAGAATGTGTACGGATAAAATGGGCCGTATGGAAAAATGCGAGTGCCGTGTGCCATGCCAAATGGTGTGAGTTGATAGACGTCTTCGCAGCCTCACCGAGCGACTGCGTCACATCAGCAAATCCCTGCCAAATCGTTAACGTCACGACGTTCCCGACGCACCGGCTGACGTCAGCAGATCCCACCACACCGTCCGACGTCAGCACATCCCCACCACACGGCCTGATGACAGCACGTCACATCACACAGTCTGACGTCAGCACATCCCGCCACACAGCCTGACCTCAGCACATCCCACCACGCAGTCTGACGTCAGCACATCCCACCACACAGCCTGACGTCAGCACATGCGACCACACAGCCTGACGTCAGCACATCCCACCACGCAGTCTGACGTCAGAACATGCCACCGCACAGTCTGACGTCAACACATCCCACCACACAGCCTGACGTCAGCACATCCCACCACACAGCCTGACGTCAGCACATACCACCACACAGTCTGACGTCAACACATCCCACCACACGGCCTGACGTCAACACATCCCACCACACAGCCTGACGTCAGCACATGCCACCACACAGTCTGACGTCAGCACATCCCACCACACAGCCTGACGCCCGACTCGGCCGGTGATGCCGGCACGTGCGTCGTCCGGCGGCGCGTGCGGCCAGCCCGCAGGCCCTGTCTCCGGCTGCTAATGGCAGACGCCACAGCTCGACTCAGTGACTGGCGGTGACGGGCGTTTGGCTCCACGTCCCAAGCCCGCCACACACACGGCCCCTTCCCTCTTCCCTCCCTCTCGCCTCGGCCCCGGGCCCCTCCACGCCCTGCCCAATCGAACCTGCTGAGAGAGTAGGCTAAATATCGTGCGACAGGCCGATACCCCCCGTGATCTTCTCATCCTACCCCCCGTACCCTCCGCGATCTTCTCATCTTAAAGATCACCTTAACAGATCAAGTTTTTTCCAGTTGTGATTTGTACCTATTAACCAAATGTTTGGGTGCCCACCTCACTAATGATTATGCTGCAATGCCAATAAGTCATTAGTCAGCTGGTGCAACCCATCGAGGTGTCGCGAAGAGCATGAAGAACGAAAAGACGTGGTCAGTTTCAGGATGTGCAACAAGGAGCCTACATGAGGAACAAATGCGCCGAGTCCGTCCACAGGCCACGTGACGGCTCCCATCGCTACACGGATGACGCAAACGAGAGCCCGTCAACCTGTGTTAACGTCATCAGCTCTGTTCCCACGGCGGTGATGACATCTGCGGCATAAATACATGGACCGGAAGGGCTCCTCCTGGCTGGCGCTATCGGTGTGCTTAGCTCAAGTGTCGCAGGCCGCCACGGGTACCGCTAACACCTCACGAGCTGAGGCACACAGTTTATCCCAACAGATAGGCTCTCGTTAGGCTCGTCATGTCCTGTCGGCGGCGCGACCAGACGCACAGCTCATGGCGTGAGAGCAGCGCGACCAGACGTACAGCTCATGGCGTGAGAGCAGCGTGACCAGACGTACAGGTCATGGTGTGAGAGCAGCGTGACCAGACGCACAGCTCATGGCGTGAGAGCAGCGTGACCAGACACACAGCTCATGGTGTGACAGCAGCGCGATAAATGTGCGCCAGATTCCTTCTTAGCTGGGGTTCGACGACTTCCAGGCGGATGTTTGGTTTATTGTGGTATCCGTTGTTATGAAGTGATCTGTCTGTCTCGCGTGCGCGGATGTGTTTGGTTCATCAACGCCCGCGAGTGTGTGCCCTGTGACAATCTCTCAAAGCGACTATTTTCTATTACGTGTTGTACAACATACGTATTCCATTTAAGCGTAGAGTCTTTACAGAGTTGTGCCAGTCTGCGACTGCATGTTCTGCATGTTCGGTACCCAGCATTCAGCATGTTTTGTACCCAGCACATTTGATTACCAGTCGAATCTGTATTAGGCGGCTTTGTCCCCCTGCGCAAATTGCGAAATCCGATTCCCTAAATTCGGATTTCTCTGAATACATCAATTGGTCGCACATTTAAACCCCGCCAACGACCGTCACTGCTGCCAGTGACAACACAGAGTGTTACTGGCGTCAGTGACAACACAGAGTGTCACCGACATCAGTGACACTGAGTAAGCCGACACACTGCTGCAAACTGAAATCTCAAAGGCATTTCATGATAATGATCGAGTGCAGAGGATAAAGAAGGCATGTGTGCCACATTTTCTGACGCGGTGTGTTCGGCATGTCGATATGACGAGGCCATGGGTGTCATGTGTGCACAAATTTGATAAACATTAGGTTTTAAACCGGCCACGATGACGCCTTATCGTACGTTTATAACACCGCATGCGGTTCGAGTCAAATGCAGAGCAATCAGTGCGTAAACATCACAAATGAGCCAAACTGCAAGGGCCAGCTGTGTTTACGGAACAGCCACGGCAGCGCTCCAGAACTGGCCTCAGTCTCTCCGGATCGGCCGGGGCTGGGCTGGCTGGCCGCGCGGCCCAGGCGGTTGGTCCGGCCGGCCCAAATCAGTAGGGCCCACCGCATTGGAGCTGCCCCGCCGGCCCGAGAGGCCGCTCCGCCGGCCCGGGGGACCACCCCGCCGGCCCGAGAGACCGCCCCGCCGGCCCGAAAGACCGCCCCGCTGACCCGAGAGACCGCCCCACTGGCCAAGGAGACCACTCCGCCGGTCTGAGGGATCACCCCCCCCCCCTCGCCACTCACTTCTCTGTGAAGAAGCTCTCTCCGCCGGAGTCGGTGTCACCCCTGTCGGTGCAGCAGTAGCGGTACGTGGAGGTGCCACAGCAGAACACGGGTTCCTCCTCCAGCTTTGGGCAGGCAAACCCGTTGTTCCACTTGCCGAAGCTGTCCACGTAGCCGGAGCAATAAGCGTCCCGGCTCAGCACTGGAAACACATGGGATTGTAATTCAAACTATGGTATTGTGCTACTCATCTCTATCGCATAACAAACCCCTGCGATCAGCAAGTAATTCATGGAATCTTTTAACATAAAGAACCGGTTATTATTAAATCAAATACCTTGTTTTCAGATGGTTTCGATCATGCAGCCGAGCTCTGCGTCTCTCAGTCACCAATCCAACACCCTCTGCACGACAACAGTTGGAATCGGCCGACCCCTATCAGACATACTGGCCGAAAGCAGAGCGTAAAATGAGCCATCTCAAAGATTATTCCTTAACATCCGTCATCACAAAGGAAAGGCCGTCCACAGGCACGTGTGGCTCATAGGCACGTGGTAGGCTCGACGTCCTGCGCCTGCTCCTCACAACCAGGGATAGACCCCAGAGGACTAAGACAAGACAGGTCCGCTTGTCTGTCGTGATAAGCACTGACTGGCCTCAGTAGAGCTCATCATATATTTTCGCATATCATACTGATGAGCACTGAGCCGCAATCCACGGCCTTAATGTGACGCTTATGTTTGGAGAGGCCCGGGCTGTGATCAAAAGACCGCGCACGGTGGCAATACCAGCCGTCGGACAATCCGGCTCTTTCACGCCCTGACAAGCTGCGCCGCTATCTGTCGCTGTTCAGCGTCACAAATCATGCCTGGACGCCTTCGTCGGCTCCGGCACGTGCGCAACACGTGAGGCTGGCTCGGCGCCCCCGCGGCTGGCCCGTCACCGGCGCGCCGGCCGCTGTCTGGCGCCGCTTAAATCACAGTCCGCCCCGACACTTAACAGCGGCGGTAATTCAGCGGCGCCGCATGCCCCGCGCGCTGACCCCCTCCCCGCCATCCCCCTCCTGCCGGTGCGTTGCCGTCGGTGCAGCTGCCAGCGCCCGCGGGCGAGCCAGCCGACAGTCAGCTATGGCCGGAAGCCGGACGTTCGAACAACGCCAAGACATCGAGCGGGGGCCTAAAGGCCGAAGTGAGGCTGGCGCGATGCGGCTGACACCGCCGCTCGCCTCGGAGCGACGGTGGAGCGGCCGACACACGGCTCGCCTCGGAGCGACGGTGGAGCGACCGACACACGGCTCGCCTCGGAGCGACGGTGGAGCGACCGACACCAGGCTCGCCTCGGAGCGACGGTGGAGCGACCGACACCTGGCTCACCTCCGAGCGACGGTGGAGCGACCGACACACAGCTCGCCTCCGAGCGACGGTGGAGCGACCGACACACGGCTCGCCTCGGAGCGACGGTGGAGCGACCGACACCTGGCTCACCTCCGAGCGACGGTGGAGTGACAGGCACACGGCTCGCCTCGGAGCGACGGTGGAGCGACCAAGAGCGCGGCTGGTCTTGATTTCCGAGATTCCTATCGCTGGCGGCGAATTTATTGCAAACAGGGTGGCCGCAGATGCGGCCGGTGGCCGATGGAGCGGGGCGAGCTGAATAGCCTGCGGGATTCGCTCTCGGACCGCGAACAGGTCTGCCTGACGACTGCTGACCGGTGTCGGCTTGTCGGCCTGCTCGCTGGCGTGGTGCCAATCGTCACCTCGCCGCCCGCTTGCCTGCTTGTGAAGCGAAGACAAATTTTCACTGGTTTTGTTTTTCTATTAGTGTGTGGTACCGGTAGACCATGATATACCAGGTCAGACAGACACGGATAGTAAAGCAGGAGAGCCGTAAGGGACATCCTAAGCCCTGTTATGCTCTTTTGGGGGGGATAATCGAGCCTGAGAAGAGGTCACTGCGCACCTGCAATGCAAACCCAATCAGCTTCAAAGCGCAAGCCTGGAAGACCGCTTTTTTAGAAGAGACCTGGGTATCGAAGAACTTGCAAGATTTTCATGGCGTCCCTGTTGATCACGTGATCGCTTCCTGGAAACGGTTGGTGCCGCACATGGTTCACCACATGATTCTAGCGGGTTCACTCGCATCGTATTCAGTGGCCGTATTACCATCATGGACGCTTCAACTGGAACCTCAAACTCAACTGAAACTGGAGCCAGTTTAACTGCCTTGACGCATTGGGCTTTATCAGAATTGGCCCACCCTGGCGTGGTCGGATTTGGCCCTATCCTGGGCACCTTGTTGCCACCAGACAACACCGCCAAAAGCTCTTTTCACGCGGTGTACCCGAATCGAGTGTTATATAGCGGCGCCATTGTAGAACAGCGTGGGTGCGCGTGCGAAAGGGCGATAAGGCTTCGTTTGTCTCCCGGCCAGGAAAAACACCATTCAACATAGTGACCACTCTGTTGCCGAAACCGTGAAGCATTGGGGCCGAGGATCTTTTGTTGGGCGAGGCTGTGAGCGGGAGGAAACCGCGACAGGCGGCGCGCGAGACCGGGACAGAGCGGTGGCGCTCAGACACAGAGCGGAGGCGCTCGGAGACAGAGCGGCAGCGCTCGGAGACAGGGCGGCGGCGCTCAGAGACAGAGCGGCGGCGTTCAGAGACAGAGCGGCGGCGCTTAGAGACAGAGCGGAGGCGCTTAGAGACAGAGCGGCGGCGCTCAGAGACAGAGCGGAGGCGCTTAGAAACAGAGCGGGGGCGCTTAGCGACAGAGCGGCGGCGCTCAGAGACAGCACGGCGGCGGTCAGAGACAGAGCGGAGGAGACGCTTAGAGACAGAGCGGAGACGCTTACAAACAGAGCGGAGGAGACACGTCAGACTCCATCGGCTCCATAAGGCAATGGGTGGGCAGTCTCTCCGTATATTGTTCAGCGGTAGAATCCAATCCACACCTTGAGATCTTTGCGGGAAAAACATGCCTCCCGATATGGGGCACTAAGTTGTGCTGCTCATCTTGACTCAGCACTTGGCTCCAAGCTCTCGCACATTTCATGCGCCCTTGGTACATTACACGGATGGTATGGATGCCGCTAAAGATGGCCATCCGACAGGGAATAGATGACTGCCAGTACGAAATGGCCTGTCGCCTCTCGTCCTTCCGGTCTTTTTAGCCCCAAGAGCATGCGCTGAGAGCCGGTCACAGAGAGCCCCCGAGGGCCTCCCAGGGGCGCACTCAGAACGTGCACGGACGGCTCGAACCAGAGCGCCTCCGGTCGACCACCTCCCAGTGGGACACTTGCAGAGGGGGACGCTCCGTGCCGCTCTCAGCCACTCCTCAATCAATTGCCGACCTTTGACAGCATAAAATAGCCCAGCGTGCCGCGAGGAGACACGTCCAAATAAACTGGCGGCGCGCCGGCTGAGGGAGCGCGCGGTCGGCCTCCGGCGCTGGCCGGCCGCGCCCCGGTGGGTGGGCACCGGCTGACGGCTCGCGGTCCGCGCAGCGGCACCTGCACTTGCAGCTGGCGTTAGAAACTAACGTATCAAGAGCAAGCTTAATACCGATTCATACAGCCAACACGTTCATAAATTGAACGGCACGCAGAACACGCATACCGGCAGTAAAGCGTGCGTGAGGCAAAGCAAATGCTTACTACCACCTACCACCAGCTTTATTTAAATCTCCATCGGGCAGCTCAATTTATCTGCGTAAAGGCAGCAGCTTATGCTTGACGGCTTAAGGTCTTAGCATATTAAGACCACAGGATCAGGTCTAGTTTGATGTTATATATATATATATATATATATATATATATTAGCGCTTACATATATATATATATATATATATATATATATATATATATATATATATGTAAGCAGAGTGCGATGTCTCATTAGAAACACAAATGATCTTTTGTCCGACACTCGCCATCAAACAATATCGACAGCTAGTGACGCAGTCAGTGAATGGTGATGAGTTGATCATAAAGACCAAAAATCTCCTGAATTGAAAATTGACGAGGCGAAAGATATTGCAAACCAAGAAGCTTAGGGGTACATGCCTGGCTCACCGCCTCGAATGGTATGGTCTACTTAAAATTGTGGCTGTTTAGTTTAATTTCATCCACCTTGATTGTTTTGCCTTTTATTTACTTCTTCATTTCAAACCTTTCTCAGTTGTGTGCTTTTTTGGTAATGTGCAGAAACCAACGTGTTACAATGACAGCTCATGTCTACAAAGCTGATGGCTGGTTATGTTTTAACTTACACACTGTTGTCTTGTATTCATTTTGTGTGGCTTCAGGAACAAATTTAACGCATGACCCGGTGCATGTGGCTTATCCTTTGAGCCGAATATACATTGTGTCACTGTCAGTCACACATTCGCACATGAGTATTCTTTGCGAAAAGACATCTTACTTAAATCATGCTTGATGTGATGGTGATTTTTTGACAATTCTCCGCGTTTTCTTCGGTTATTCAACTGGCAGACACACAGACGCCGCCTTATTTTATTTGATATCAGCATGATAGCGCTGCATGCGGTGCTATTTCTATTAACTCAGAAAGGAATTATGCACAGAGGAATCGTAGTCCTGTGCTTTTATAAATTGTACTAACTGTAGCCTATTAATTTCCCCAACTACATGTGTTTTAATCGCTAGGATGTCATTTGTAATAAAAGTTGCCTTGGACAGCGGGTGGCAAAGTGCCATACGTACCTGAATTTTGTTTCGATATGAACTGTTACGTGTAGAACATTGTGCAAGATGTAGTTCTTCTTCAACCCACAGTTCTAGGAACTGTGGATTAAAGCCAGGACAGAATGATGGTGAAGTTTTCTGAGTGTTTCATGCTTGGCAGTGACAAGGAAGGCTGCGTTTGATAAAATTCGAAAATGTTTATCTCCATGCATGCTACAGGTTCATTTGCAATGGTGGCTGTCGGATAAGCGCATGGTGAGAAGTTGTTGCTGACCTTGTTTTCACTGTTTGCGTCCGGGACATAGCATCTCCGGTTTAGTTGCGGGTTTAATCGGGTAATTGGTAAAATAGGCTTGTTAAAAGCTATTTAAGTCAGGTTTAGTTCACAAGATAGTTTTGTGAAACATTTTTAGCAAAGGCAAAGACCGATGGACGAAAAAGCGTTTTCAGTTTCATTTGACCAATAAAAAATGGTGTGGGGTCCCAGCCCAACCCCCACCT